CTTACTAAACTTTAGGTACTTGCTCAGCAGTATATGTTTTGTACAGTTACATTGTGGCATTGTTTTATGAACTGTTAACTTTCACGTTCTGAAGTATACTTAAGGTTTTTTATATTATTACGGCTATTACTTCTTTGCTACAGCACTGACATGAATAATCTGTGCACAAGTTTTAACTAAATTCGTTTGTAACGTATCGAATTGTGCCCTTATAGATTATGTGGAATTGTGTTTTATTTGTGGTTGCAAGTTTACTAAGGTGCCATTTGAGCACCTAGATGCTTAAAAGTCTTTTAGTCATAAATACCAACCACATGCCTCTTCAAACCAAACAGTTTTTAAAAAAATTTCTTCACTCGAATAAGCAAACGTTGAAGTAGTCTTCCAGGAAGTATATTCGTGCTCTTGCTCTTTGCAATCTGAGAACAGTGTTCGATAACTTGGAAGCTGAAGGGATTCTTTTTCAAAAATTTACATAGATCTTACTCTCTTCTTGTCTGCGTAGTTAATTTGGTGGTAAGATTTCGTTTTTTATTTTACTTGCATCCTACTCTGTTTGGTATCCTGCAGTTCTTTTGTTTTTGTAACGTTTTTTTCTCGGATTAATGAGATTGTCACTTTTTTGCCGTAATTAATTAAGTATTTCTATAAATAATGTATGAGCTTTTACAGCGCTCTGGATGAATTTGGAATCTAACGGCTTACCTTCGTCCAGCAGCAACAGTTTGAATAATTTGGGCAAAGAAGTGTATGCATTTATAATTTTATATTATTACTTTTTTCTTATACACTTGAAGGAGAAGAAATCTGTTGTATTTACTGTCAGTGCACACAATGTCCTTTCCTTTTCAGTAACATTCAGTAAATACACTGTAGTGATCGGTTGCCTGGAGGTGACATACATGAATCTGCTTTGACAGAAATAGTAATTTAATTAGATATGCATGCGGTTCAAATATTTACTTTTAATATTTTTGTATGGTAATAGGGCAGTGGTGGAAAGCTAGTGTTGAATTGGCGATGATTCTTTTAGGATGTAAGTATATTATTGATCTTTAATTTAAACGTGTAGATGAAAGTGAATATTGCTGATTGATACTGAAACGGGACATAGGTACAGCGGTACAACATATTAAAGTTCCTAGCTCTTATACTGTATGTCATATTTTATAAACAGATGATTAGGACAACAGTAAAATACTGTTTCTAACAAAGGTTTGAAACGGCTTTTACGCCTCATACAATAGTCTGGTAATTTGGTTCTTAATTTTGTACTTATTCTATTGTTCGAAGTTAAAAGCCAGCTATGGGGCTCCTTAGTAAGAACACTTTGAAATTTTATTTTCTTTTTTTCCTCGTTTTATAAAATT